ATATAATATGTACAGTAACTCTTAAACATTCCACTGATATGTACAATATGGAGTCATACAGGTCTTTTACATTTTTTATATGCATATGAAGCTTGTCAACTGCCAACTTAGCATTATGTTGCATGTAATTATAGGTTTAAATACAGTTGTAAGTGATTGTATAGATTTGTATACATGCATATTTATAAATTTAGTAGTGTTATTCAAGGCATCAGACAAAGGATTATGACTATAATAAATGGAGTAATTCATTACATACAATACTTTAACACAATTTTGCCTTATTTTCCATCAGTGTGATACAAGATTCCTTCAGACCATTTCTCTTTGTTTATGATTTCTATACAAATTAGCTGATATTGAATATACTATATAAATTTCTGTAATTTTTTTTCATGTTTAAGATGACCAGAAGCAATGTCACAATTGCAAGATATTTATCTATAGTGTAGAATCAGCGACCAGCTTTACTGACCAATTTTTAACTCCTGCTGTGATTTAGCTGAAATTCATATATTTCTATATATAAGGAGTTCCCTCATTTGTGTTTCTGCACATGTGGCTATATTTTATACAAGATTCAGAAATTAATCAGCTCAAGTCAAACCTTCGCTGACCTGATCTAACCTAACCAAAAGTAACCCATTGTAACATTTTAATCTACAAACCCAAGAATTAGAAAAAAAGAGGAGTAATATTTAAGCACTGCCATGGTTTATGGAGATGCTTAACAGTTGATTCTGTCATTTTTATATATATAAAAAATGGGCTTTTCTCTTAAACTGTTTTTTTTTTTTTTTTTTTTTGGGGGGGGGGGAGGTTAGAACAGGTGATGTAACATTAATATTAGTTAGGTAAGATTAGCTTCAGTTAGTTTAAAACAATGTGAAGAAAGTGTGTATAATTTAACAGAGCAAAAACTCGTTATGAGAGGAGCTTCAAAACACTGGGAATAAGATTTGCAAACAAATTAAAATCTCTTGATATGATGTATAACTCATGGGCTGGGCTAATATGCCAGCAGAAAGCCTCAGTCAAATGACCAAATGCTCTATAGAGCACCTTATCAAATGACTAAAATACGTGTCTGGAGAAATTTTTCCATTTCCTGTGATTAACAAAATTCTGCCACACTCCCTCAATAAAGTCAGATTTTCAGCCCATGAAGATAGGAATGATTAAACATCTTGCAGTGGCTGTTCAAATACATCATCCAGGTGCTGACAGATGCAGTACGTGTGCCTATCATAGCACCATTTATATTCAACAACCACTTGAAATTTACATGAAGTTATAAAATGGGGTTATAAAGAAAATTATATTTAATATTGTATAGAATTATTAACTGGAAGACTAATTAATTTTGGCCATTATAAGATGTTCACAGCATCTTTAAAAATATTTTATCTATTTGTTATTATCTTTTTTCAAATTAAATCATTTTATTTCCAATACTGTATTTTTCTGTTTCCATTCTATTAAAAATATCTTCTTTTAATTACTATTACTCTGATTTTCACCTCTCTCAATCCCTACGAACAACATATTTTACTGGAGGGATAACCCTACCAATTACTGTACTGCTAGTCTCTCTCCCTCTTAACACTTGATCACATTTGAAAGATGAACATGGTTGGTGTCATTATAGCACTCCAGGGGTCAAACAAGTGTAGTGAGTTACAGGGTACCAAACGGGTCTACCTTCTTATGCAGCAGCTGGACAGATGATTGTAGAGTAATAGATCTAGTATTTGCTTTGCTGAATTATCAAATAAAGGCCTCATTACGTCTAAAACATTTTTAACTTTCTTAAAAAGCAACCTTAACATCTAAATTTGCCTTAGATAGCAATGCATTCTTTTCACTGTATATTATAGTGACTGTGTTTTAAACATTTTTTTCATAAATTTAAGTGAAAACTACAATATTTGGCATTATTTCATCCAGATATCACAGAATTTCACTAACATGTACAAATACTACAAGTTCATTACAAGTTTTAATATTGACAAGTCTTTAATACACTGAGACCTGTTTGATAAATCACAGTGATAAAAAAATTAAAATAAAATGGAACAATTCTATATAGAAGCTCAATAACTTGATTGATTGAAAACTTATCAAAAAACATTATCTCAAAACACACAGTAAAGATAGCAAAATTAGACTATGATTATAATTATCTTAAAATAAAACTACAGTAAACCTTCTGCATTTACAAGGATTATATTTCTGAACCAAAAAAAAATATGAGAGTAGAGTTTTCAAAAGCTGTTACTGTACGTTGGTAGTGTAGTAAAAAATTTGGTTTAGTTGCATGAATCAAACAGAAAGAAAATGAACAGTGCTTATTTCAGAGACTACACAAATTTTCCAGTGTTGCTAAAAGAAGAATATTTTATTATTTGTCTCAGTTACATGTCACAAAATAGGATTGAAAAAAAAAAGCAGACTTTGCAAGATATTACATTTGTACCTACAAGAGAGGAGATAGGGAAGATGAAGCAGAAGAACAGTAGGGGGCTGAGGAAGAACAGGAGGATAAGGCAGAAGAGGAAGAGGAAGTTGAAGTGATGAAGTTTACATAAATGAGGTAAAAGAGAAAGTGTTGTGAGCAATGATGAGTGTGGAAAATGAAGCAAGGGAGGATTTGAGTCTTGCTAAGAGATAAGATTTCATTCGGATTTTTAACCCTGAAGGGTTAGCCACCCAGGATAACCCAAGAAAGGCAGTGTCATCGAGCACTGTCTGTTTTATTTCCATTGGGATCCTCAAACTTGTCCCCCAAGATGCGACCCACACCAATCGATTAACACCCAGGTACCTATTTCCTGCTGAATGAACAGGACAACAGGCGTAAGGAAATGCATCAAAATGTTTCTACCCAGCCGGGAATTAAACCCAGGCCCTCCGTGTGTGAAGCGAGAGCTTTGCCAGCCAGGCCTGTTATTTAGTTTAGTTTTATAACACATTACAGCTCAAATCTCTACAATGGGTTATAATACAAGCTCATATTTTGGTGTCCCACTTAATGACATCATATAGCTCATTGTGTCTTTTTCTAGTGTCCCTACTGTTAGCGAGAGTAGGTGTTCAGCACATGCTGAGAACACAGGTGTGCAAACTGTGCATCACCTTGCTTGTGTGTAAATACTGTCAGCTCCTTACCTCCCACCCACAATCCCATATTAGGATGTGCTGAGGAGGGCTTAGAGCTGGAAAGGTAACAGGTAAGGGAATAACAAAGAGGAAAGAAGAGGAGGAGGAGGAAGGGCAAGAGAAGGTAGAGGCAGGGCAAGAGGAGGAGGAGGAGGAGGCAGGGCAGGAGGAAAGAATTTGTTAAGAAGATTAGTGTGAAACATGAGGCAAAAGATATATGAACACTGTTACATCACAATGCCAAACTGCAATAAATAAAGGTAACGTAAGAAGGCCCAAAACCTCCTTCCCCTCACCTTAACAATAATCATCCTTTCTAGCTAAGTCTCTCTTCTTCCTCATCTCTCTCATCACCTCCCTGTATTTTATATATTGTTCACTAGTATTTGTACAGCAGTCCTTGTGCCACTGGACAACATTCTCTGATCATCTTCCCATTTTTCTTAATGAAGCACACAAAGGCACAGTCAATAAGAGGACTACTTCCCCTTCCCCACACCATGTGTCTGGTGTTGGTGATAGAGTGATGATTCAGGCTAACATGCTGTCACTTACTGGGGGAAAACTTTGACTGGTTATAATTATAACCTTAAATTTTAAAGAGGTGGAGGGTAAGCCAGTGGAATGCCTCAGTCAGATGACCAAAGGCTTCAGTGGTGGGCTATCATTTGAGTAAGACCCATGTCAGGAAACACTTGTCCTGTTTCCTGACAAATCCTACCTAACCTAACTTACTGGGGATATGGAAGGGGGTGGGTTCGTTAACTAGCTTATACTGGGCCATGAATGTAATGTTCCTATGCAACTGTATTATTATTATTACTACATTCACACATTGTAACCCATGCAAAGAAATAAAACTGTTTATTGTTTTACTGTCTTCATGGGGAGTACTAAACCCAGTGTCATACAGCACCTCGGAGAACAGAAAGCATCAAGGCTTGATTAAAAAAATAGGAGTACATGTACGATTCCTTTGATCAAGAGCCCCTTATCAGCGCCAAGGAACCTCCCTTGAAGGGTATGGAATTACAAAAAAAAAAAAAAAAAAAAAAAAAAAAAAAAAAAAAAAAAAAAAAAAAAAAAAGGAATTTTGTTAATGATAATTTGCAAATACTAAGGGTTTACTGCATATGACTGATATCATTATCAAATGTGAAAAATTATGAATATGTACTATGATTTTCAGTAATAATCATATCTGCTTAAAGCAAACTGTGTATCATTTATATGGATAAAACTTACTGAATAATAATATACTATCTGAACTAAATCATTCTAATAAATTCAGTAGTCTTCAAGCAATCATGTCAAAGTCAGCAAAGAAATACTTTCCAAATAATTTCAAATAATCTACAATGTACAGGAATTTAATTCCTTTTTTAAAAAAATAATCTAATGTGCAGTGATACTACACAATACAGGAAAATAATAATAATAATAATAATAATAATGATAATATATTACAATTCATTCTCAATATTCTATATATAAGCAAACATTAAGCCATTCTCTTTATCCAAAGTCTAAGTACATTTCCTTACCTGAGTCATATTACTGACTTAAAAAGACCAAAAATTATCTTCTACAGCAGTTTATAAATTGAAGTAAATTTTATAACCTGAAAAAGCATAAGTAACTAGCAGCCTTCTTGAAGAAAATTATTTACCTATTTAATCAGAGACAGTTTCTCCCAGTTTTCTTATCTAAATCTTGATACTCTATACATATGAAACCTAAAGTACATTTCATTGTTCACTACCTTTTACTGACTTGAACTACCATGGTCATTCAAAATTTATAAACTATGAGTCAAACAATATTAGCATGAGAAATCTTACCCTATGCGTGGGAATGTCATCATCACGCATTTCATCCAGATTACCAGAGATAGCACGCTTTAACTCAGGTCCCGCCTCGTGTAAAGTTCTCAAACCTATGGGAAAAATATTTCTATAATACATAATTTTTGTATGTCTTCTTACTAAAGCTTTCCCTCTTTAACACATATTCATCAATTTATGATAAATGCATCCTTGTCAGATCAATAACAAAAACTTTCTGCACTTCTTTTTTTATTACCTGTCCACATACAGTTGCTAAAAAAAAATTTGCATAAAACTGTTAGTCTGAGGTGTAATACAGAAAAGACTAAGCAGGTCTTAATTATAGTAATAAAAATTATTAAATATTAGTGGAGATGTCATGTCTGAGAGCAATGTGTGGTGTGAATATAATGCAGAGAATTCGTAGTTTGGAAGTTAGGAGGAGGTGCGGGATTACCAAAACTGTTGTCCAGAGGGCTGAGGAAGGGTTGTTGAGGTGGTTCGGACATGTAGAGAGAATGGAGCGAAACAGAATGACTTCAAGAGTGTATCAGTCTGTAGTGGAAGGAAGGCGGGGTAGGGGTCGGCCTAGGAAAGGTTGGAGGGAGGGGGTAAAGGAGGTTTTGTGTGCGAGGGGCTTGGACTTCCAGCAGGCATGCGTGAGCGTGTTTGATAGGAGTGAATGGAGACAAATGGTTTTTAATACGTGACGTGCTGTTGGAGTGTGAGCAAAGTAACATTTATGAAGGGGTTCAGGGAAACCGGCAGGCCGGACTTGAGTCCTGGAGATGGGAAGTACATTAACACCCCTCCTGAAGGAGGGGTGTTAATGTTGCAGTTTAAAAACTGTAGTGTAAAGTACCCTTCTGGCAAGACAGTGATGGAGTGAATGATGGTGAAAGTTTTTCTTTTTCGGGCCACCCTGCCTTGGTGGGAATCGGCCAGTGTGATAATAAAAAAATAAAAAAAATTGAATAAGATATAGGAATTATTTAATACTAAATGAAAAGTCAGATATTTAATAAAACAGCTTTCTACTAAAGAAATGTTAAAAATTCTGTAAGAGAGGATATATACAGTGGCAGCAAAAAAATCTATGCATTTCCAACGCAAAAAAAAATCTATACACTTGATTTTGGTGTGTACACTTCACTTGCCTTTCCGCCACAGGAAAAGTGGGTGGAGCTTGTGATGGCTTAGTGTACTAGAGCCTGTCTTGCTCCATTGTTCCCCACCATGCCATGCTTCAGTGCTCTTCCACAGCTTGGTGAGGAATGAGGCTAGCTACATTGTTACTCATTGTCCATTTTTTCACTTGACCACAAGCTTTACCATGCTATATCTCTGCTCCAAGTAGTCAGAATGAGTTGAACTAAACTTTCAATTGCAGAGAAGACCCGTGCACTCACTCTATTAGAGCAAGAAATGTCTGTGATATGCATAGCCGCAGACCTGAAGGTGACTAGGATGGCAATTTACAACTTTGAGAAAACAGCTGCCTCACTCCTATCTGGCACTGTACCACCTAGGAAGGTGGGGTCTGGGGTCCCCAAAAAGACTTCTCTTCGCATAGACAAAATTCTGAAGAGGGAAGTGTAATCAGATCCTGTCATAACAGCTGAAGACGTCAAGAAAAAGCACCCAGCACTCCTGAAAGATGTCACAGTGGGAACCATTCAGCACTGGCTGCAAAAGGACCTGAAAATGCTTGCTTGACATACAGCCAAGAAGCCCATGCTAACTAAAGTCATGAAAAAAAAAATGGCTTCAGTTCTGCAAGAAGTACAAGGATTGGACCTCAGACCAGTGGCAGAAGGTGATGTTCAGCATTGAGAGTACCTTCAGGCTTGTCAGGAGTGGCTCCAAGACCGCCCATCATCCCAGTGGTGTGTGCCGTTACGACCCGCGATACGCCGTGAAGACATTGAAGCACCCTGACAGTGTTATGGTCTGGGGCGCTTTTAGCTATTATAAGGGCAGAGGTGGATTATACTACTTCCTTCCTAAGAACATTACAATGAAGGGAAGTAATTATATCAATGTGTTAAAGGACCACATGCTGACATTTTGGAACATTCACGTGTGATTTTTTTATTCATGATGGTGCCCCTGCCCATAAGTCAAAAGGAGTGAAAAAGTTCCTTGAGGACAGTAATATCAGTGTTTTGGAGTGGATAGGCAATTCCCCGACCCAAATCCTATCAAGAATGCCTGGCATGTGATGAAAAATGAGACTGCAAAAGTTCGACCCACCAACATCAAGGACCTGAAGGAGGCACTGAAGAAGCTTTGGATCAACATGGATGCCTCCTTCTTCTCTACCCTTGCCACTTCGATGCCCAGGCAACTTCAGATGGTGATAAAGAACAATGGTAACATGACCAAGTACTAGTTGGAAGCTAAAAAGTGAAAATAAAATATATGTACATATATTATGTTGCATTTTTTTTATTTATTGTCAAAAAATTGTTAACCCTTTGAGGGTCGAGAGGCCCTCTCCCAAACTCATTCTCAGGGTCAAAAAAAAAAAAAAAAAAAAAAAAAAAAAAAAAAAAATCTTATGAAATGATAATCTTTTTGCGATCATAATGACATCAAATGTATGAAATTTGATGGAAAACTTATGGCATTATGCTCTCGCAAAGTTAGCGGTCTCAAAGTGGGCGATTTTGCACACTTTGAGCCCTATTTTCGGCCAATTCCAATGTTGCAATTGACTAAAATCATAGCTATTTCCCTAGAATTCCATTTTTTCTATCGATTGAGTACAAGAATCCACCCATTTACCGATTTCAACTACCCAGTAAAGTGTTCAGAAAATGGCAATTTGGGCAATTTCATACAAATTTCAAAAGATGCCAATTTAAAAATAGGGTCCAGAATAAACAAGACAGACATTCATGGCACTAAAATAACATTTTATCTGTTCATCAGTCATGTCTCTAGACCCCTCTTACATTACTTTTGTTTTCCATTTTGAATTTTTATTCTCACAGAAAACAGAAGGTTTTCTGTTATGTATACTACTACATCATTGTAAAATGGTATAAATTATATCAGCGCACTTGTGAAAGAATATTAGACTCACCAGTTGACGTGTATTGGATGCGTGGCTTGATTTGTTTATTCTTGAACATAGGCAAAAATCGATCATTTCCACTACTTCGAGCTCAATTTCAAGGTACTTGTCATCATGAAACCAATCAAAATCATCTCTAATTCTGTGATATATCTTCCATTCTATCAAATGAGACCAAGGAAATGAGAATACAACCATAAATATCATATGAAAATACACTAGAAAGTCGCTGTTTTAAACCAAAAACACAAAGTTTTTTTTTCTCATTATGCACAGTGTGCTTCAGGATTTTTTTTATACTGTGCACACTGACCACACAGACCCATTCTTTCACATGTAGGCCTGCCAGCTTTCTTCCACTAGATTTGAAGGCGCTAGAATTTAGGCTTACAAGTACGTGATTGACCCTGGCTGCAATGACGTACTTGTACATGACCGACCCTCAAAAGGTTAATGTATAGATTTTTTTGCAGCCACTGTATTACAAGTATGATACATGCTCATATACCCTATGCACATTAGATTCTTAATTATCTGATAAATTATTGTGCAGTTAGAGTTTGTATAACATATTCTTCTGACCAGACGAAGCTATAATATTAGAATACATGGTCTTAATGATTTAAAAAATATTTTCCTGTTTCAGGGGTTTCGTGGCCCACCTAATCATTCACTTCTATAAGCCTAGTAATGACTTCTTTCCTCTGATTCCTTACTTTTGTTTCAGCTGCATGTAGCAATGAGTCAATGCTCCTATTTGGGGGAGCACAAAATCACTCCATTGGAGGGTGTTCAACAAAGGTGTTTTTATGCACACTGAGTTTTTACACAGGTTGAGTCAGACATAGAATATCATAGAGATTTTTGTGTCTGGTATTATGCCTAAGAGTTCCGTTTCAGCTATCAAGAAAGTTTCAGAGCAGAAGTGATATTAAAAATGCTTCTCCTGTATATGTAGTATGTACAGTATGAGTGTATTTTATTTATTTTAAGTATAGACTTGGGAAGTGTGTGCTGTCTGGCACTAGACTGGGTGATCACTGGTACAGCTGCTGAGTTATTATTGGCTTTAGATGATTTACTGTAGTGGATCTCCTGGCACAAACAGCATAGGTGCAGTAGTATAATGTAAGCAGTGCTGTTTGAGGTACATAGTAACATATCTTAGGGAGGATGCCAATTGATTTGGATGCTTTCTTTGTTGTGTATTGTATGTGGTTGTTGAATTTCAAGTTGCTGTCAGAGAAAAGACCTAAGATTAATCCTTTGTTTTGTCTTGCAATAGGAGAACCATTGATCATAACATTTAGATGGACAATTGTAGCTCTATTCCCAAACATCATGTAGAAGGACTTGTCAATGTTAAGAGTGTTTGTTGGTAGTCATCCAGGTAGATATCTTCATGAGCTCCTCAGAGAGAATTTGGATTTGGGTGGGAGATGAAAAAAGTTGTGTTATCTGCAAACAGAACAGGCCGAAGTTGCTGAGATGCACTTAAAAGATCACTGATGTATATGAGAAAAGGCAGAGGGCTGAGTACACTGCCTTGGGGCACCCTTATGTAGATAAGTTGTGTTGATGAGGTTATGCCTTTGATGGAAATATATTAATGTCTCTTGTTAAGGAATTTAGATATGCAAGTTCATGAGCTCTGATACCATAATGCTCAAGTTTGCTGTATTGAAGAGGCCTAGTGGATATTCATTAGTTTCAAGAACTACATAAATGATGTCTAGCATTTTTATAACTGCATCATTTGTGCTTTTATTTAGTCTGAAACTGAACCAGCTAGAAGAATATAATCTCCAATAGATTGTTTTTTTCAAGATTTTGGATAACAATGGCAGCTTAGATACAGATCTATAGTTATTTAAGTTGGTTGGGTCTCCTTTGTGTTGTATGGTAACCCATGCTCCTTAAGCATTGTTGGGAATGTGTTGGTTTTTAATGATTTGTTGAACAGTAATGCAATGGTGAGTGAAAGCACATGAGCTGCTCTTTTGAACAACAGTGGTGGTACTTGTGCTAAGTTTCCTGACTTATTTTTCAG